CAAACCAGCCAGTCAACCTTCGTGTACAGACAGGGGAGGGAAAAAAAAGAAAAAGGAAGACCACCTGTCCATCAGGAAAGCCACCAGGTTTCCTTCCTCCCCCTCCTCTCTCAGTATCTCTGAGCCCAATGATGGCCAGCGATACTCCTTATCAGCTGGTGAGATGAGATTTAGTCCCAGGCCTAACACTCATGGGAGGCTATTGATAATGCTAGTCCCCCCTTCTGCTCTCCTCTCATTTTCCTGAAGTGGGACCGGCCTCGCCTGGCCAAATCCAAACCGCAACCATGACAGCAACTGCAAAACTGATTTCGAATCGGTGTTACGGGGTGACATCTACCGTGTTCCAGCTATGGATGAATACGATGAGCCATGCAAAACACAGATGTGAGGCCTGGCAGTGGGCATCCCCTTGGTAAAATCCCCTCTTTTTCCCCACTGCTACCTGGACGGAAAGCTAGGTCAAGCTCCTGGTGATGGGTGTGATGTTGTTTTGACATCCATGCTGCTGCATAACCGAATGAATAATCGATGGTGCATGAAAAAAGAATACATTTGAATTTTTCTTTTCTTATTTTAGCACTGTTTTAAAAATGCTCATGAAACTTTCATTGTTTATAGGTACAAAGCCGGAAACGGCACAGACTGCCTAACATGTTCAAAGCGGTGTTTTTCCATTACTGACCGTATCTCCACGGCTAAGAATCATTTAATGGTCTTCATGCACGGAGCAAAACCATGTGCATCTTTGTGTCCACGTTTTTATAGCCTCGTAAATGGTTGCATATAACTGTCGAACTAACCTATTACACTGACAGACAGCAACTATTATGTGATATTGATCGCTCAAGCCTTTCAATAGCAGCGGTCCTGTCGATTTGATCAACTGGAGAAGCAGAGTTTGTCTAGAGCTCGTCTCAGTCGTAAACTTTAGGAAGACATGTCTGAATGTGGCCTACATTTATCAAAACTCAATTTGACTGATTCACCTCAGCAGTTACTACACAAGGGACTCATATGCAATTAGTGGTGTTAATCATATACTAATAATAAACAGTGAATTTAATTACATCCATGATGTATTGTCTCCCACAGCAAATGCTACTGGATTTTCACACACACCACAGCTCAAAAAGATTTATCTGACACCAGCTCACAATCGAGTTCTTCAGCCCTGGCTGCCCTGCCACAGAACAGTTGGTGATAGAGCTAATAGAGGGTTGCAACATGGCAACGGCAGAAAAAGACAACAGATGTTCAAGAGGGCGATACGAAAAGGATCAAAACAGCATTTTGGTGGCTTCATTATTTATATGTCCTGAGTGACGTCCATTGTAGTTGACCAATGTATGGGGGCTACAGGATTAGTGGAGGCAAAAACTGACAATTTGATTATAGAATAGAATATACTTTATTGTCATTGGAAATTTGTCATGGACTCAAGAGTGCGTAGTGCATAGTAGTAGCTGCAGACAATAAATACACGTAAAATTCAAATAACAGCTAAAGACGTACACATACTGTAGTAGACTACATACACACTCATGACACATCCAATAAAAGATTAACCAAAAAAATAAAAAATTACAACAAATTACAACAAGCAGAACACCAAGTTATTGCACACTTCCCAGGCCTCAGTGTACAAGTCTATTTAAAATTTTGATAGAGGTGGGTACGAAAGAGTATTTAAAACGGTTCAATTTAGTTTTGGGGATTCTGTACCTTCTGCCAGAAGGCAAGAGCTCATATTCCGTTTGAAGGATGTGGGACGGGTCCAACAGTACTCTCCACGCCTGCCTGAGTACAGACTGCTCATAGATGGACTGAAGGGAGAGCTTTTCAGTCCTCCCCATCACCTTCATAGCAGTCTGTACCAGGCGCTGCAACTTTGATTTGGACTGTGTGGAGAGATTGCCGAACCACGCCATCATTCCATACCTGATGACACTCTCCATCACTGCCTGATAAAATAAAAAATAATAAAAACTAAATTAAAATAATTTTAAATAATAAAAAAATAATAATAATTTGATTATAGTACTCTGCCTCATGTTCAAAAACTGTTCAAAACAAAGACAAAATTATGCAAAATGTAAAAAACTATAGAAATTTCAAAATAGTCTATTTCAATAAGTCTATATTTCAAGTATTCTGTGACTATTTGCATAAACTGCTTAGACTAGTCTTCCCCCACTAATTTTTCAAGTCAATTACATAAAAACTTAAGTCCTATCCTGGCGGAACTAGTATTCAGGGGGACGTTAGAGAAATTCTTGTTTCACAGACGTACTTTGCGATTTTAATTCCGTCGACAACCTCAGTAAAAATTCTAAAGCAAATTATCTGCTGTTTTTCAGCAAACTCAACGGTCCTCTGAGAAATCCAATCCTGTTCGAATGCGAATGTCTTGCGGATATTGTACTATCCTAATGCTTCTCATGGTTTTTTTTTTTTTACCTGAGCTACAGTTTGCGCACCAATGTTCGGTATGCTTTCATTTAATTTCAGTATGGATGGTTTCCGATCCGACGAAAAAATTTAATTAATAAATGAAGCCAAATCACAGAAACTGTGAAGACTGCCCATTATAATATCAGTGTCAGATCCGTAATTTTTTTGGCTTAAAAATTATCCGAAATAAATTTGAGCAAGTACATAACCAGCCAGTGTTCAAAACTATCTGCTTGCCTTAGCTCGATTCAAAACGGTAAGCTTGTAATAATGTTTTTAATTCCAGTGGTACTGGTGGATTTCCGCGGGAGATTCGAGCATGTCTTTGTGTCATTACGTCACACCCGTACACATAAAGAAGAGTCTCGGCTAGTATAAGCTATATTGAGTCATTACGTCACATTCTGTACACATAAAGAAGAGTCTCAGCTAGTATACGCTATATTGAGTCATTACGTCACATCTGTACACATAAAGAAGAGTCTCGGCTAGTAGGCTATATTGCGTGTGAGGATGTTGGAGGTGGAGATTTATAGCCTTTTCTCACAGAACTCGATATAATTAAACTTATCAATCTGATGGCGGATCCAGAAAGGTTCAAACGACAATCACCAGTGATTTACCCGTAGTAAAATGCAAAAGACTTCGGAGTGGCTACAGAAAAAAAAAAGAGAGACTGCAACCGGACCCATACAAAAGCAAGGATAAATATTGGAAGGGCATTAAATGTAGTCACGCAACACTGATGTTGTTAACAAACAATTTGAGAACAAAGTATAATTTGCACGGTTTGACGTGATATGATAAGCAATCGTTAATCAGCGCGATTTACTGCAATGCTTTTTTCCCTTATTTGGTCAGAACAAAAGTGGATGTTTCTTACTTGTTCAGATGACATTTTCCAGTGAAAATTCTTATGTTGGTCATACATCCAAAAAGTAGAATCTGATTCCGAATGACAGTATTGACACCGCAATTATCCGCATTCCGCGAATAACTGCAATTGCAGATTTCGAACAGAGATGGCGAAAAAGAGGAAAAACTACGGACTGCAGCTTTAAATAAATCAAAATTATATAAATTAATAAGTGGAAAGACATATACGTCATACGTGATGCACAGCACATGTTTCTGTAACGCCCACATCTTTTGAACACACACTCCCACCTCTATAAGAAACAAGGGCTGCGTCTGAAATCGCATACTCTCTTGTGTAGGTACTTACTTTGAATAAGTAATTACTTCATGACTGCTAAAAAAGTATGTTCTATAGTATGAATATCTGTAGTATAAATGTATTCCAGACGTACTACATTCGCCATGTTGTCATCATCACGTCAGTTGTGTCTCATCACTGCCATTCACAATCCTCTCCCGTTGCCTCATGGGATAGTAATGCGTCCATCGTATGCATACTTCATAAACTCGCCAGAAGTAGGAGGTCATCTGGGGGGGGGTTTTGTATACCGTTTTATGAATACTGCGAATTCGGACATACTTTTGTCACTTTCGTTTTTTCGCCTAGTAGTAAAGTTGCCATTTCGGATGGAGCCAAGCCAGTTAGTCCTGTCCGAATTGGTACATGAAATCACAGACATCAAGTGATAAGTATTATAACTCAAACATTGTTTAGAAAACCAGTCCCATCCAAATAGGTCTATGATTTGTTCACAAATTAGACTGATCTGGTACTTAGACTGATGATACACCGTTCGGGATGAGCATCACTGAAAAACTACTGAAATGCAAGTCTGTGAGGCTTAATATTTTCTGTCATAATTCACTGTCATTATTTGAAAGAGAGCAGCCAGGAAATTCTTAAATACATCTTCCACAAAAGAAAGAAAACCATATGGGTTTAGAACAACCTAAATAATGACATCATTTATTTGAGTTGATTGGGTAATTTGAATGTGCCTTACACTATAGAAATGTTGTTATGTGGTGAAATGGACTCCCTAAACTTGTTAATGACGATGCATAAAAGAGAGTGAATCTTAAAACATTAGACATGTCCAGAAACACTCCCACAGGCCTCGCCTGTTATTTCAGAAGTCATACAAACAATTTATTCGGACCATGTTTACATGTGTCCTTTATGAACTTGTTTAGAGGGTCAGATGTATAATACCCTCCAAAAATTTGTTCCACGGAAACAAACATTTTATCAGCAACCCATTCGGAGGTTGATATAGCCCCTTATCCAAACAAAAGGCTGTTTTATTCCCACGGCTTTTCCATTTTTCTCTCGCTCGCTCTCGTGCATCTGAGAGCCGCACATGGCATGACTCGAATGGGGACAAATCAGTACAGCGCCCGTTACTAACGCTATACTGGCACGCAGGTGTTCAACAAACCCATCACCAATGAGGAATATTTAAAAAGATACACTTCCGAGGGGTTCACAATAAGACAGAACAGACAATAACATCTTCACTTATGAGTCAACACCATCCGTTCACTTCCCCAGCCCCGCGCATCACCTGCATTTGTGAAAGCACATATTCTGATGACAAAAGCATCTGCAGATACAGAAGTGCCCTTACCTGTGTTTGTGGCTGAAAGTGAGCGCGCGTTATCCCCACTTCTCACTGGAAATTGTTCGTTGGTCTTTTGTATAGTCCAGAGACGCGAAATGCGGTTGTTTGCCCTCCCCTTTCACTGGCGTACAGACGACGGCTGTGTGAGCGCGTCAAGCCACTCCACCTGCATGAAACGACACAGCAGATCTGCCGCTCAATGCGCGTCCTCCCGGTAGCGGTTATAGGCGCGAAATGAGGGCGCGGTCAGTGGAACACCTCACCAATCATCCCGCGCGAGCACTTCGCCTTCCAACCTCACCGACGACAGGATGACTGCGGCACAGCTGCCTCAATGTGACTTACTTTTACAAAATCTAGACCACCGACTATGTCCAGTAACGTCTCATCCATCCCCCTTCTGTCTCTTAATCCGTTTAGACCAGGGGTGCCCATCCTTTATGGTCTGCCGAACCACTCAAATATTTATTTTAAACACCCTATGGAATTTAAATAACGTTTCTCTCAATAAATGTTATAAATAATAAAATTAACAGTTTTTTTTATTATCATTTGTAATTGTAATTTATTTTATGTTAAATGTATTGGTTTAATGTTGGACTCAAATAAAATAAAAAACTTAGGCTACATGGCTCTATGGAACTGCATTATTCTGATTGGTCAATCGCTGTTTTCAAATTAAATATTTATATAAAATTTGACCAATTCTCCGTGGCAACGCTGTCCCCTCATCAGAGCAAACAAACTCTTTTTGTCTCTTACTAGTAGCCTACGATAAATTAATTTCAGCTCAAATACATTTTTAATGTGTCTGCAATGCATCTATTTATCCACCTTATTTTGCAATGCGGAAGTGAGCTATTTTTTGTTAATGTGCGAAACTTTCATTAGGTAAAGTAGAAGAATTACAAAGTGCAGTGAACAGTAAAACTATTTGCACTACAAACAAATGTGTTTATGTGATAATAAATTAAAATAATATGATAAGTACCGGTTTGCAATTTACAGTTTTGTTTTTTTATTGCTTAGACACTAAAAGTGGTACTTGTTGAGGCCCACTCAGTGAAACTATTCACTCACTCCAGTTTTGAGAAATGGAGCCATAGTTTCAAAAACTGTGTAAGCATTTTTTGAAAAACTGTAAAGCAGTAAAATGGACTGTTTTTGTACAGGTAAAATAACTGGAAGCAGACACTTTAACCCTAGCTTCAATGGCTGAATCCGAAATCGCCCCCATGCCCTCAAATAGGGTGTTATTTGAGGGGACAACCATTTGTAGTGGTGTCCGAAACCATAGTGGACGTTATCAAGTGCACTTATTCAATCCCACATTGCACTGCAATAACGATTGTACAAACGATGTACACTCAATGGCTGTCCGAATTCGCTCACTCGTTTTCATTCACTCCTTCAAGTGAACTGTATTAGTGGACTAACGTAGGGAATAGTGAATGATTCAGCCAATGTCTGCACCCGCTCTTACGCCAAAGTCGTCATAAAACGGAAGTTGTGATAAGGTGTGTTCGACTTGAAGCAGTGCTGTGCAGTCCGAGCGGTGTATGATATCAAAGAAACTATAGTGAGAACGATAGAGAGCAGGCAGCTTTATATGCTTTCGAATCCCTCTCGCGGTACTTTGATATCATACAACGATCAGTCTGCGCAGCACCACTTCAAGTCGAACAAACCTAATGCCAGTTTGCAGTCAGTTGTGGAGGATATTTAGTCCTGCCCTCCGCCGAGACATACGTCATGAAGAGCCTATGCCATTTTGAGGGGGAGGGTAGGTTAATGTTTTTGATTAAAGATTACAAATTGGGAAAAAAAATTAAAGATGTGCATGGATAAATAATTTATAATGAGCACTGCAACATTCTGTAAAAAAAAATTCAGGGTGACTTTAAAAATGTAGCTGTACATAATAATGTCCGGATGAATGTACATTATATAACTTGCTATTGCCAATGTATCAAAATTTCACAAACCCCTGCAGTTTCATCATGAACCTCTAGGGCGTTTAGGGCTCTTAAAAAAAAAAAAAAAAAAATCCTGTATTTGCTCTATGAAATACTTGATTCTGATTAGTCAGTCACGGTTTTCAACAGTAAAATATTTATAAACAAAGACTTTGGCCATGACAACGTGTTTTGCATCTTTATAAAGATAATACATTAATTTAATATCAAATCAGTATTTCGTGTGCATGTATATATTTTTATTTATCTGTTTGTTGGTTTTTAGCTGTTTTCGCATCAGGGCTTTATTTTGTGTTGACTGGCTGAATGTACATTTAGAGCACTTTGTAAAGAATCTTACATATTTTTCTTATTTCTGTATACTTTCACATTATGTACTGAATTAAGTGAAGGACTTGTATGAAGGTAAAAGAGTAGCAATACTCGAGAGCACGTAGATGTGAATTTGAGAACTTGTGCAATAAATATTCGTACTTGTATGTGAACATTTACACTCACAGCTCAGATGTGAAAACCTGTAAAATAAAAATCTGAACTTGAACGCTGAGATTTGCACTCGCAGACAATAGTCACAAACCTGTATTCTGAATCTGAAGCTGCAAACAAGCAGTCACAAATGTGTAAAATGCCATTCACAAAGATACAACGACAGACACAAACTTGTAATACAAATTTGCACTTCATCTAAAATTTAAATTCGCAGTACAACCTCAAATTGGCACTTGCAACTTCTCAAATCTGTCACTGCAAGTTCAAATTTCGCGCCTTGACTTTTGCTACTATTTTCGCGATAGATGAGGTGCAAAACTGATTTGTGCACTTGTAACTCAGTAGTGGCGAGGGTGAGAGAGAGAGAGGGGGGCGGGAGCGGGGGCGTTCAAAGGAGCCGTTTTATTGGTTGGCGCCTAGCCAATGAAATGGGACTTCTATTGTACGCGATGCTGTCACGAAACCCGCCTCCTCGTGGATGTTCTGAAACGCTAACATGGCTTAATGCATTAGACTGATTTAAAAGACATAAATGATAATCAAACTTAGTAAACACCATACTAATAATGAATGCTAAAGAAAAGCAGATGAACAGAATATGACGAAAGAAAGCAAATTTGTGTTCATTGCAAATAAACCAGCTGCCTGTGTTTTATTAATAATGTATAAGGAATTGTGTTTTTTTTTTATAACTGTTGGTCCATTAAGCCTCATTAAGTGTTTTCTTGGTTTTCTATGAGAGGAAAGTGCTTAACGTACAATTAAAGGAGTTGCGTTCATATTGCTTTTCTGAATGCTTTATTTATGGTGTTTGCTGAGTTTGGTCTTTTAATACGGTCTTAATTTAACGTGTTGCGTTTATATTCTGTGCTCATCTGCTTTTCTGTAGTATGCATTATTAGTATGGTGTTTACTAAGTTTGATAATATCATTCATTTCTTTTAAATCAGTCGAATGCATTAAGCCATGTTAGCGTTTCAGAACATCCACGAGGAGGCGGGTTTCGTGACAGCATCGCGTACAATAGAAGTCCCATTTCATTGGCTAGGCGCCAACCAATAAAACGGCTCCTTTGAACACCCCCGCTCCCGCCCCCCTCTCTCTCTCGCCACTACTGAGTTACAAGTGCACAAATCAGTTTTGCACCTCATCTATCGCGAAAATAGTAGCAAAAGTCAAGGCGCGAAATTTGAACTTGCAGTGACAGATTTGAGAAGTTGCAAGTGCCAATTTGAGGTTGTACTGCGAATTTGAATTTTAGATGAAGTGCAAATTTGTATTACAAGTTTGTGTCTGTCGTTGTATCTTTGTGAATGGTATTTTACACATTTGTGACTACTTGTCTGCAGCTTCAAATTCAGAATACAGGTTTGTGACTATTGTCTGCGAGTGCAAATCTCAGCGCTCAAGTTCAGATTTTTATTTTACAGGTTTTCACATCTGAGCTGTGAGTGTAAATGTTCACATACAAATACGAATATTTATTCCACGAGTTCTCAAATTCACATCTACGTGCTCTCGAGTATTGCTACTCTTTTACCTTCATAGACTTACTTCTTGACAGTTCTCTGTGTGTGTGTGTGTGTGTGTGTGTGTGTGTGTGTGTGTGTGTGTGTGTGTGTGTGTGTGTGTGTGTGTGTGTGTGTGTGTGTGTGTGTGTGTGTGTGTGTGTGTGTGTGTGTGTGTGTGTGTGTGTGTGTGTGTGAAAAAGTATAATTTAACCATGCAGGAACATCTTTCTTATACCGCTTAACCTTGAAACGAGCCACCTGGCTCACATTTCTCTGCCATTTTATAACATTTCAAATCTTATGACTCCTCAGCTCCCGTGGCCTTATGGGAATGCAATGTGTCCATTGTTTGCACTTTGCACGCTTCAGAATCTCAGCGGATCCAGTAGGTCATCTGGGTATTGTACGCCTACTGTTTCACTGAGTTAGTTTGACACCTCAAACTCAGGCATCCAACTCAATTCACACTATACAATATAGAAGAACACATATTTGGACGCTGGGTTAAATTTAGTGCTGTTTAATTGAATTATGATTAAATATTTTAAGTATGGGTGTGTCACTAGAGAAAATAAGTGTTCTGGGGTCAAGTGAGACAATGAGTATAGATTGTTTACCATATCCTTTTACCACAGAATTTAATTTCAAAGAGATAAAATGTGTAACGATCTTTGCTTCAAAGAAATTTAAAAACACCAACGCACATGGATTCATGCACTTGATTATACATCAGCTATAATGCTGCGGGCTGTTTTATAAGTTGAACATTTCCATTGTTTTCTTTTTTTACTGTTGTTTTGTCCTCGAGTCATGCAATATTAAGCATGTATCATCTTTAAATGCATTAATGTTTAACAGATTACTTTACATTTGCAAGCTTTGTGTAATGAGCCAAATACTCAAACAACAGCTAGTATGATTAATGGTATCTGTAGTAATTCCCGCATGTATTACCCTCAGCTAATAACCTTAAGCACAAAGCCTGGACCTCAAATGTCTGTTCAGGCATGATTTTTAACAAAACTGCCTTACTGCTTCATCATTTTTGGAGGGGGACATGCACAAAAACATAAAACAGGTAATTATGTCAGACAGGTCCCATGCAGACCCTCATGACTGTCAAAGTCAATAGGTCTCTTAAAATATCAGTTAATTTTTAATTTTTTTATGCTAAGACACGGTACGTTCAGGGTGTAAAACATCATGTAGTGGTTCTCCCAAAAATGTATTGATATTTATGAATTAATAATAAAAAGGGTCGAGGGACTCTGATGCTCCGTCCAAACCTCCTTCCTTTTGCTAAATAACAATATATAGTACCGACAGCCAGTTATTTTCTACTCTGTATATTGTCAGCATAATGTACGGAAACAAAAAACAGGAC